TGACCTCTGGGTCACATTCTGTGTAAATGGATTCAAGTTTATTAACAAGCGACTTGCTAATATAATATAAACTTTATAATGAACACAATATACTCTACTTATGACTAACTAGCTTTCCACCCGCAGCTTCGCCCGCGTGGAGTTCGGTTATATCGCGTTTTCAAGAGAACCTTTCAAAATTCTGCGATAAAAACTATCCTACTGGTGAACTCTATGTCTGTACCAAATTTCATTAAAATCAGTTCAGTAGTTTAGGCGTGACAGCGTAACAGACAGACAAACAGAGCTACTTTCGCATTTATAATATTAATAGGGATATGTATACGAGTACAGTTACTATAGAAGAAACAGGAAAAACTGAAATAACAATTTTATTAATACTCTAAATGTCAATTTTTTAAAATATGAATTTGAAAGTAATAACATCTTAAAGGGTGAAACAGACATTTAAAAACAAGTTTGACATATAAATCCTTATTACGACCCACCAAAAAAACAAGACTTAAAAAAATGAGAGTCAAATGTAGCTTAAAGCTACATTTATCATACTTTATTTAAAAATATGTACTTTCTAAGAGTATTTAGACACCACTGACAGGCGGTGAAGGAAAACATCGTGAGGAAACCTGGACTTATACTATCAAATTATAAGTTTGAAATCACCAACCCGTCTTGAGCAAGCGTGGTGATGATGCTTAAACCTTCTCCATGTGAGAAGTCAGCTCAGCAGTGGGCTCTGATAGGCTGATGATGATGAATTAAAAATATGTTTTCATCAAATTACTTTTACAAACAAATTTTGCATTTTCCATAGTTATGTAATATTTTATAGTACTTGTGTTTCAAGTACATTCAGAACTTAACATCATCGAAAAATAAAAATGAATCAAAATTTCTGAACGCATTAATATTTCTATTTATACAGATAAAATAAAAATTACTAAGTATTCAAAATATTTTATAAATACGTAATCAATTTTATTGCAGTATTAGCTAAAGAAACAGTTTAAATATGATTTAGGTTTGCAATAATAAATTTATATTTATGACATTCTTGTCATTTACTGTCAGATTGTTAAGTAAAGGTATAATCGATATCGTTGTAAATTCGTAATATATTACAATGTTGAGTTTTAAACATAATTCTCGACATCGTGTTCTGATGACAAAATTCTTCTCAGAAACATAATATTAACTTTTTTTAATATAAAAATATCTAATAAACTGTCACATAAAGTTATTCCCGAACGTTCTAAGAACGCATTTCGATACAATGTCGATTTGATTTATTTATGAAGGTGACACTCGCGACTCCGCTGTCATTTTTGTTTTTGTATATTTTATTATTCAGCAGTTAAATTGTGTTATGACTTTAAGTGCCATTGATGTTGTAAATATTGAATTATTGTAAGTGTAATACGGATAACCTAGTTTGATAAATATAGATTGAGATTTTGACCTGGTTTATTTAAAATAATATAATTTGTGACTTTCGATGTATTCTTTTACTGTTATTTCGATTATAATATATACATAAATACTTAGAAATATATATTAATATATCATTTTGCTGTAGTAAGACGTAAGTTTGCAAAAGATAAACATAATATATTGGTGTGCATTTATATATATGAATGTCCATTACCCTTTCACGGAAAAACCCTCTAAAATCTACCCTTATAAGTTTACATGGTGGAAATAAAACAGTCGGTATCCAATTTTTCCATTCACGTAACTCGATACTACCACGAACACGGATCAAATCAAAAACACGAAAATGCTAGTTTATAGTTTGACAATTCGAGCGCTTACTAAGGGTTCATTCTCATTCTAGTATTAAATTCTATAAGTATTTGTAGCCACAACCTAATTAGTAACAATATTTCTTAAGACAAAGCACTCACTATCGCTAATAACCAAGTATTATCATATGCTATAACCGTAAAGCAATTCCCAAATTAATTTAAAACGGGACAAGGGACAGCGCGGATAAATATTAATTGATACCGGTACGGCTTCATATTTAGTTTAATGAATAACTAATGTTATGGTTGCGATGTTCCAATGTCGGAATTATCAATTTCGGGACCTGACCCTTGGCTCGGTTTAAACTTGACTTCATATGAACCTTCAGGGTTGACAGCATATATTATTTTAAATACATTTTTTAACTGTCTCCGTGAATGCACTATTGTATGTAATGACATATGTGGTCTAAGAAAAATAGACGAAAATTTATACGTAAAATTCTTCAATATTATAAGAACAAATTATTAGTAAATTTTTTTTTTGTTCTTATGTGTAATTTAAAAAAAAAACAGTTTTATGTAACTAGAATATTAAGCTAGATGTCGCTATACATTTCGTGTGTTTTTCAATATTTGAAGAATCAAAATGTTATTATAATATAAAGTTAATTATTCCGAGTATCTATTATGACAACCCTACAGTCACCCCTTGCCTCATATCTGTAACATCATAAAAGCAATTTTGCAAATTGTTATTGACTTGTTAATAGAAGGACCGTCCCGTACTTGTCGCGTAAAGTTACTAACCTAACACTTGACGCTAATTACGCGAAGTTTATTTCGTAAACAAAAAAAATTGAAAGAAAATTATAACTAACTAGAAGACCTGGCGAACTTCGTATCGCCCTATAATCAAGAAATATCTATTACGTTTTTTTATTTATATTTTTGGAGTTTACCTGTAAGCCATGAATTTCCGTGTTTTGAAGTGCGACAGAATGATTGACATATTAGTTAGTTGTCAAGTCTAATGTCAAAAAAAAACGTTTGTATGGGAAATAGAAAAGGGCTGTTTTTATGGTTTTGCCAGTAATGAATCATTTTCTTCAGTTTTTATACCTTCCCTGAACCTCCACGAACATTTCAAGACTAAGATAAGATAAATCCCTTCAGCTGTTCTCGAGTTTTTGCGAGACTAAGGAACAGCAATCAATTTTTATATATAGAAGATTACCATCAATGTTTAAGTTAAGAAGTAAATAATAATAGCCATAACAGGCCAAAACAAGGCCCCAATTAGCCCAAGCCGCTGTAAGATTAGATTTGTAATGCTTTTCCGGCCATTTTGGTCCCGGTAATGAATTTAGCCTAAAGACAAGCTTCTGTTTGCTCTACCTTGTTGTATAACCGCATCTGTCAACTAATAACCCTTCCGTGGGGTGACGAATCTTTTTATTGTATCCAGGACTTGTTTTTAACTTAACTTCATTTCCTAGAATAATAATAAATATATAATCTAATAAAGTTATAAATTTTTCTAGCTAAATACTAGATACGTAATAAAAATCCTATAAATCAATTCAGTAATTGATTATTAAATACTAATAACACATATTTTTTTCACTTTCCACGTGATAATAAATAATCAATATCAATGTTGTATTTAGTATAACGTCTGTAACATAGACGGCGTTACTGGTCGTTTATTTAAATTTATTTTAACAACAAATTGTTTTTTCTATCAGAACTCAATATAAATCCATGTATATATAAAAGAAAGTCGTGTTAGTTGCAATATTTATAACTCAAGAACGGCTGTAGGGATATGGATGAAGATTGATGGAGAAATAGATTAGTAATACGAGACAGACATGCGATATTTAATTCTCTTAAAAATAAAACTTAATAACTTTCAATAACTGGTTATTTACGGACTCTGTACATATATTACCAATTCCGAAAATAACGCGGACGAAGGCGCGGGCTATAACTAGTATATAATAAATGTGAATAACATTAAGTTTATCAATCTGTGTAAACAGTTTTTTGTTTAATTATTAATATATTTGTGATTATTTTTCGTTTAGCATCATGGCGACCCCAGCGAGGCGACTCAATAAATAATTCAACTCATCAAGGTCCAATCCTACCTTAGGGTCGTCTGTTTGTTGCTCTAATAATATATAAATATTGTCCATCCTATATTATATTTGTTTTTATTGATAATAAATATATTGATATGAATATATACTTGGGAAATCTAATTTCTAAAAGTGATACGATAAAAAAAATTCACAATTATTTCGACTTGTAAAGACATGTGAATAGTAATGTAACCTTTGTAATGTTTTAATCTGAGTCTAATCCTATGAGTACGTAATAGATATGTCCACTAATTAGTATCAAAACCAACGTCAAATCTACTAAATGATTTACAGCCGCACGCCCCATTACAGACCCCTGAATACATTTAATTACAAGTAATTTATCCCGTCCCATTAATCCTTGAAGTTCCCCAATGTTTTAAAAAATCTCATCCCTTGATTACACGCTGTCATGTCTTGAGATTTTTTTCTAAGCCAACAATTATTGTAATCTGTGTTTTATTTTCGGCGGGCGACCGATTATGGCGGGAAAGCGTTTTTTTTTTTGTTTAAACAAAATAATTAAGGTTTAACGAAAAAGTTTTGATGGCTGTATTTTTGTTGAGTTGTATTAAAAATGTTTTGCAAATCGTATTTGTTGACGTGATAGTATATTGTAATTCAGGAAGATCTTTAGGGAGACTTTAGCATCATTGTCGTTGGCTATTAAATTTCATACTAGGAGTTATTTAGGATGTAGGAGGTATTGTAGCACATTACTCACGTAATAAGCCCGGCCCAAGTGGCAACATTCATTTTGTTAAACGCGCCACGTAATTGGCCCCCACCTCGAGATGTTGCCAGCCGCAAAATTTATTACTTAATTACCTTAAGAAAACGCGTCGCCGCCCAGACATACCGACAGATGTTTTTTATTCCCGCGGAAAAACAAAACGCCTAAGAATGACATTAATTAATTCTTAATGAAATTCATCTTCACCCTCCGCGTTTTAATTTAAACGCTCGATTTATTACTTGTACAATTTGTCGCAAACTCTTCACCCTTCGGATAATTAAACAAAAACCTCTCGTTATAACATTTATTTCCGAATTACGGGACAGCTAAACTGTTCGCTTGATCTAACTTTAATGTTTTTATATAGTAATGTTAATATTTTCTTTGATATGGATCGTCGACTGTGTGGAAGAGTGGTTCGTCGTAACGCAGGTAGCCATCAGATTGTCGGGTTTGATCTTGGAAGTTCTTCTTGGAGTTATAATTCTCAGTATCATCGTGGTACTGGTGACTGTTTATATTATTCCTATTATTCCTGATGTTAGAATTAGTCTTGAACTTATCGTCTTTCTGAGGTAGTATTGGTGTCGGTGTAACTTTCTCATCAACCTTCTTATCTTTGGATGCTGTGCTCGCTCCGACGAGATCTCTATACCCGAATCTCCTCTCATCTTTCCTGACCGGCGCGTACGGATATCTGTTTCTGAACCTGTAGTCATACCTGCCTACTCTGTAGTAATCTTCATCGAGTCGTCTGTAAGGATCCGCGTTGTATCTGTATCTTAAATCAACGCTCGGCGGCGTCCGTATAACGTCTGGTAGATGCGCGTAATAAATAATCCTTTTCGGCTTCCGAGGAACATAATTATTGTACCCTTCATCATATCTGTCAACTCGCGGGCTGTACGGAGTGTAGCGGCTCCGGTCGTATAAATCGTAGTACGGATCACGGTTGTATAAATCGTCAGCGGCGTAATATCGATCATCGTAGTAGGGCCTGCTGTCCGCGTGATATACGGCCTGCCGCGGGTACACGGGCCTGTAAGCCCTGTCTTCCTCAGGTCTTACGAATTCGGTCCTTAAATCATCGGTCCTTGTCGGTCGTTGGATAGATTCTTTATCATTTCTAGACTCGGAAGCTTCTAGAACTTTATTCTGTGTTACGAAGTTGACGCGAGGCATTCTACTGTTGATGAGGTCGCCAGATGGTTGTGGGGGCGCCAGTATATCTCTTTTATCATCACGATTAAGATAAGGCAGTTTGATCCAATTCTCATTGGAAGCTCTAGCGCCTCTCCCAGTTGGTTTTTCAGTAATTTTCTCAGTAGTATACATATCAGCGACGTCTGGTTCTTTGGTGAGTGATATTTTGGTGGTAGGGTCATCTTCCACTGGTCCTGGTAACCACGGTACTTGGTTCATATTGTTTCTATCAGGTCTCATGTTATAAAACTTTTCTTCCTCAATAACATCCCGCCGACCCCGCGTCGAATCTTCAAATTGCTATAAAATCAAACATTTTTACTACTTCAGATTGTGTTATAATAATTTTTATAAAATATATTAATTATCTTTTACCTCATCTTCATTATTTTCGTGCAGTAAGTCGAATGCAGCGACGCTATGTATAAGTAGCGCGCTACAAACTAACGCGATTGTTGCTTTCATTGTAACTTCAATGGCTTTATAACTGGAATGGAATAAAAATATCAATTAATATTTAATACATTATAAGATCTAAGATTCAAAAATATAACTTTTAATAAATTATAATTATTTATTTTTTCTCTAAGTTTCATATAAATTAAAATTGTCATTCGAAGATTCACAGAAGTTCTTATAACTTTTATATTTAAGACATGAGCGTAATTCCTATTTATTTATTTAAATGTTTATGAATGTTAAAGAGTACAATTCCAAAACAATCAATTAATTTCACTTATAATTAACAGTATGAACATTTTTTATCTAGTACAAATTCAGAAAAAAAATATATAAACAAGGTTTATAATTTTAAACAGTGCATCGTAATTGAAAACAAAATAAAAATTTCACAATACTGTTCGATGGTATTGTAGCAAGGCTTCGCCGGAAACGAGATGTAATCAGCGGAAGTTCAACAAGCGTTAATATCTCCTAAACCAGTCTGACCTCGATTAATGAAAATAAAATTAAAATGTACCGACGAAAATTTAACAACCTCCAAAACTATATAGTACTAGCCGTAGTAAAATGAATTCCGTACAGTACTGATTATTATACGCAATAGTTATAGCTATTCTGTTTTTTATTTCAATTAATCTTCTCTATAGAAAAGCTGCTATATACATACATATATGTACATACATGTTAAGAAATATTAATTCCCTCCAAAAAACTCATCAATCTATACTAAAAATCGCCAATAGATTTGATAAAAGTTATCTACTAACTAACTAACTATAGTCAAGATATATTATAAACTAACAGTCCGTATATATTCCCACGACACAAAAGCTCACACACAATAGTTCTGCTCCAAATAAGTTATATTGATTCCCCCAAAACAGTTATTGTTAACGAACCTTATTTACCAACATACAGACAAGGAAATGCACCAAATAACAATTTTTCGATAGGCAAACATTAGGCAAATATTAGGCAAACATTCCTTTTATACCTATTGATTGTATAATACAGTTATTATTTAAGTCAGTGGTGGCCTAGCGGTTAGAAAGTCTGCCTCTCATGCATGAAAGCGCGGGTTCGATCCTGGCCCTGGCAAGTACCAATGTGATTTTTCTGAGTCATATGTACTTTCTAAGAGAATTAAGACATCACTGATTAATGCATTCCTAAAGAGAGTTGATGTCAGGCAGGCGGATGTCGTAAAAACAATTAGCCACAACATGTAAGGCAGACCCTGGCAAAAGCTGGGAAATTGCCAGGCAGAAGAAGAATACAATTATTCGTCAAATCGAAAACATTTTATATTTTTTGTAACGATTTTTTTAAACGAAAATTTTAATAGCCGCCATTAAATATATATTATAAGTTGATAATATAAGAAAGTATAATCCCGACTATAGTCACACAATAGTAGTCAATCTTTAACAGTACGTAAAATATAGACTTTCGTCACACAACACGCGTTTCTCGTTCAATACTTATATCAATACTAACCTACATTAACACTATATACGCGGATTTACGAATGAAATACTGTTAACGATTCATTTGTCTGTCATTGTCATTCCAAGCGGGGATTAGTAGTAATGTAGCCTTTTATAATAAAAGCAGTATCCAAATAAAAGTCTATGCTCTGTTAATTAGAAGTTAAAATTTCTTCTTATTCGTCTATTCAAAAAATACTGAGATATGATTAAATCGAAGTATTTTTTTACTTTAACATTGATTGTTTCTAAGACCAAAAATTTACTTTTATTAATAAGCTTACCAGAAGTTGGCGTCAAACTAAATACAGATTGTTTTCACTCTCATTTATACAGTTAACATACTACAATTAAGTAGTATTTATTATCACTTGTATATTATATAAGACAGAAACGTCATTTGAAAAGAACTTCCGAAATGAAAAGTTAGAGAGAATAAATTTTGTTATTAAAAATAAAATAATTAATTACCTACTATTAACATACGATTAGGATCAACTAACTTGAAACCTAAAGATACCGTGAGGTTTGAAAGCATTTTCTATTTAAACCCAAAAAGCTAAATACATAAAAAAAGTTGTATGAAAATTATAAAATATATCTAGTTGCAGTTTTTAGTTTGAATAGTCGATAAATCTTTAGTCATGAGACTAATATGATATAAAAATCATAATGCTATAGACAAAGTAATCCAAGTGGTTATTAAAAAACTAAAATTTCTTAATAGTTTTATCAGACTTCGGTCAAGTTTATATTAAAGTATATAATGAGTGCAAAAATAAATAACGGACCATTATTTGTTAGCCACAAAATAGCTATCCACCAAAAAAAAATTAATCTATAATAATAAAAATATGCAATTATAAAATAAACATTTGATATGTAATTAAAATTTCGTAAGTCACCGATAATGAAAATACTGAATAATAACTAAGATTTTAGAGACTACACAATTAAATGAAACTAAAGTTTTCGGGCACTACTTCTTTTTTATTACTTAATGTTGATATAAAAAAATAAAAAAAAAACATGTTGTAGCCGAAAAAATTTGTGTCATTTAAATAAATAGACTATATTATGGTAAATAATATGATTTAAAACTAAAATATATTGACCAATTTTACAGAGTATAAGCGATGTTTTTTTTTATTTTAATATTTATAAATAATAAAAATAATTACGACTCAATGAATTTATGTTGTTGTTTTAATGAAATTAGAATATTAAGCAAAATTTATCTCTCACAAATATATTTTAGTTAATTTATTAAATTAAATTAATAAATCATTACCTTCATAATCCGCTTCAGTCGCTAGTATTGGACTGTGTGACGCCGTGACACCGGCTCGAGGCGTCACGCGCTTTGAACGTATTGTTGTCATCAGAGATTGTGTCCATTGTACAATTTATATTGACGAAATAACATTTAGACTGGGTTACAGATACCAGGCTGTTTGTTAGTCATTATTATTATTATTAATAAGTAGTCTACTTTAAGATCCATTTATTGAATATATTTATGGAATTGCGAAAAGTACTGTTTTTTTATTATACTTCCTTATGGTAGGGTAAATTTTCCTAATGCGATTGTGTAAAATGATAATTATTATCAAACACAAGACTATCACAGCTCGTACTTAAAAGACTACATACTCCATAGTTTCATTCAAATCGACTAAACATATCAGACGTATATTATTACCTTTCCTAAATATGTATATTCAATTATCGAAAAGTATAATAGAAATTAGTAAAATGAGGTCTTCATTGGTCTTCCATGATGTCAAATAAGAGCAACTTTAATAGTTAGCAAAAAAATACATAACCTTTCATTGTACAGAAAAAATAAAAATACAACTATCAAAAACTATCCATGGCAAGTCTATTTTTTTATTAGATATATATACATTTCATGACAGCGGTTAACATTCTAAATTAAATGAAAATCACCAACAAGTTAAATATTATATTATAAAATGGAAACGTACATCTAACGGATGAAAGGACAATGGCATGGACACAACTATCACCGATCTAAATGAGAGTATGATAATAAATTTGAAAAAAGTTCTCATGACTAACTAAAATTTATATGTAGATACTTATAAAATTAATTAAAGCCTTCCTCGATAAATGGTCTATTTAAGACAAAAATAATTCTTCAGTAAAAGCAAACAGACAAATAAACACTTCATCTTTATAACATTATTATCGATTAAATATTTAAAATAATTTCCCGTTTTTTTTAGATATTTGATTAAATAAATAAGGTTTTCTTGACAAAATATGCTTTATAAAGTTTAGTTTAGTGGTGCCATCTAAAACTGAAACTTGTGTGCGATTTCACAATTATTCATCTTCAAAACACAAAATTCCTAATGCAAAAAATTTCATTACTTGGTTGATCTTTTTCTTTAATATTATTTAAAAGTAATATAATATTAATTTTCTTTAATATTATTAACACAAACGGACAAATAATTAGCTAATTTTTAATTACTATTTAGTAGTATTACTGTTTGTTATTTGATAATAAGGAGATAAACTATTGAAATTCACTAAAATATTAAAACATTAAATACTGTCTTCATATTTGTTTATACTTAATAAAATTTTAAAAGATAATGAGGAATTAAATCAACATTTTCAACATGTATTTTGTACTTCACAAAAATCTTCAACTATAGAAATTAATATGTATATAATTTACGTAATGTAGACACAGAAAAAAATAAAACACAAATATATTTTAATACTATTATTGTTTATTAAAAATAGCATATCCATCATAAACGCACGGACGTTACACGGCATAAATAACGAAAAGAAAGTTAAACTAACATAAGCCTTCTACTGTTAACGCTGAAAGTTAAAAACAAAAAAAATACATAATACACAACTAGTATAGTGGAAAATACTATGTTCATTAAAACATTATCTTTGTTATAGATAATAAAATTAGTGCAAATTATTATAATAATGTGTAAAACCTAGCGTGTTTCTAGCGCAGATATTGAATACAACCTGATATCGAAAATTATTAACATTTCATATAAATAGATTGTTAATATTGTGACGTACAAAGTAGTACATATAATATATATGTATGTATGTGTGTTTCTTATATATCAGGTCGTATATATTATATTTCTATTCCTGCATATTCGCCATTTCAGCAGGGTTGGCGCCTTCCTTATTCTTCTTCTTAGAACCTGACACAATATCGTCAATCCTTAACAGAAATATCGCCGTTTCCACCGCTGTCTTATAAACCTGAAATTATTTAATATATAATTAATATTTAATAAAATTATTATATTATTATTGAAGAGTCAATTTTCTTTACGAGTGCTATAAATGTATATTGATTCTATTATGAATAGCGCCATCTAGCGAAAACTGGGAAAATCAACTGAGGCTAGACTTTTCTATTCAGAAATTCACGCAAATATTTTGTTAGAGGGAATTATTATAAAGGTATTTATTATTACTATAATATGAATATAAAATTGTGTAGTTAAACTTTTTGAGTATATTTTTTGATTATCTCATATATTTATTAATAAATATATTATATAGTACATACAAGTTTTTGCCCTTTACTTAGACTGTGTCAGTTTTATAATTAGAAATGTATAGCAGACTGAATGAACTCTATTCCGCCTTGAGAGGCAGTAACTAAGCAGATTTTGGTATTAATTAACTAATTTTTTTCTATCGCACGTGAAGCAAATTATCTTATGTTCGTCTCGTAGTTCTAAACTACCTCTCCACTAATTTTCATCAATACCCGTACAGACTTTTTAGAGTTATAAATAGCGTAACTAACCAGACTTTCTCTTCTATAGATAAAGATTTCAATGATAATATTCTTGTAAATTGTTGTTAATACAGAATTAACCAGAGTTTGAAAGTGATGTTGAAGAATATCCAGAAAAATTGATAAAAAAAAAAAAAACAACTATATTGTAATATTACTTTGATACAAATGTACATATTCTCATTTTTTACATTTATACAACAAAAGTGATTACAAAAGACATTTGTAATATAATTTATAATATCTTGTATTAAATATTGTTTTTATATCCTTTTTGTTTCAACCAAAGTGTTAATTATGAATTGTAATACTTGAGTTATACTTGATTTTTAAAAAGTTTCCACATCAAAAATATATACATATTATCTCTACTAATATTATAAATGCGAAAGTAACTCTGACTGTCTGTCTGTTACGCTTTCACGACTAAACCACTGAACTAATTTTAATGAAATTTGGTACAGACATAGAGTTGACCTTGAGAAAGAACATAGGATAGTTTTTATCCCAGACATTTGAAAGGTTTTTTTGTAAACGCGATATAACCGAACTCCACGCGGGCGAAGCTGCGGGCGGAAAGCTAGTATAAATATATTATTTTTTCCAATTTCGATACAAAAAATAAAAATAATAAACTTCTTGTAAAATAATTAACTTCTTGTATTAAATTATTGTTTTCATACGCTTTCTTTGTTTTAACCAGTGTTTATGACAAATTAAAACTAACACTTGATTGTTAAAAAAGTCTTTACCTCAAAAATATGTATTATTTTTTATAATGGTAATATGTATATATATAATTCACTATATACCTGTAATTTAACAGCCAGTGGTTCCCATATTCCTTTCTGTGCCATATCCACTATGAGCCCCGTTTCTCCGTCAATGCCACAGTTCTTCTCACCGGCCGCGTGTTTCGCTCTCAATGCTGTCAGTGTACGGATTGTATTCGCACCACAATTCTGAGCCAATGTACGAGGTATTATTTCTGAAATGATATTTATATTATATTATTAATTACCAATATTTGATATATGAAATAAAACTTATAGAGCGTTTTTAAATAAAACTTATAGAAATTTTTGCTGTAGTTAATTGTTGATTTTGTCATTTATTTCATTTAAAACAGTTTTCTTCATATTTTTCACATCATGAAAATGTGATATATTTCAAGTTTTTTAAACTTATATTACTTAATGACACAACTTTTTAGCTTGTATTTTAATACAACTTCTGGTTATTACAAGTAATATTTTTTATATTTAATATAACATTTTATATTAAATATAAAAAATATTACATGCTGAATATTTTATTCACTTTGAATTTTAATATAACTTTTGATTATTTAATATTCATAATTTTAATATGTACATAAAAAATGGCTTTCCTTTCTTATACATAGAAACTATGTAATTAAAAATTATTGATATAAAGTAATGTGTAGGATTATGAATAGTTAGACGATATTTGAATTTAAACAAGACAAAGATATTGCAACGATATTCAGACAAACCCTCCCTTAGCTTACAACACTACATAAGTAATTTTTACCAACTTTACAGTAGACAAAACAAACTGTCAACTTAAACCTATCTGTTTTTTTTCTATTGCTACTTAATACATAATAGTTAGCCGTTAAGAAATAAATATTTATACATATTTTGACTATTTCGGTTCGTCGCGCAATGCGCAGCTTCATTCAATGGCATTAAAATGTAAAAACCATTATTTTAAATTTGAGCGGTTTTGTTTGCTAAGGGATGAAACGCGTGTTGATAACTTAATGAATAGATTTCATATATTATCTGCCAGATGGCACTACACATAACTTTGTACTATTTGAATATACTATAACATATATAATATTTTATTTACATATATTATTCTTACCGAGTGCTTGTGCAACTGCTCTATATGGGGCTGCATGATGAGCTTTGGCCGCTAGTTCACCTGACACAGACATCTCAACCGCTCCACCACCACACACGAGACGAGGATTCAATACCTAAAGAACATTATTAATATAATTAGTATAGAAAATAATAATATATACCTAGGAAACAAAAATAATAAATACTGTTTTAGTTAGTAATTAATATTTAAAAAGTTTGTTATCTTATTGTATTGATGTTTTTTTTTCTTCACTTTTTTTAAAATATCCTTACAGATTCTTTTAAATGTTTGTGTGTAGTGTTTAGTTAACTTTGTTAACATGTGAGTTGTAAAATGTAAATACCTGTAATGGTGTATCACATTGTACAAGTTTTCTTTTTATATTTTTTTCCACATATCGTTTGTGAATATGCCGATGATATTTCCAAAATAAATAAATAAATAAAATACAACACATTGTTAATTTGAACCGAACCTTTAAATTCCCGAACGCATCCTAAATGACATTCTAGCAATGATGCTTTGTTTCTTCACTTTTCCGCGCGAAAGTATTTTGTAAACACGACTTGTAATTTAACTCATTTGAGGTGTTTTGGTTTAAGACAATAATTAGTTTGCTCTAGTTAAGGTTTTACTATTATTTAAAAGTACTGGCTTTATAAGAAAACTATATTTTTTAATGATTTTGTTAGAATCCTAAATATAGATATTTAGTATAGGTTGCTGTAATGTAAAAATGTTATAAATATAGAATGTTTATTCAATTTCGTCAATTCTAAATGTTTATTAATATAAATCTTTATAGAATTTGTAATGCAGTTGGTATGAAGTAAATAGTATTGTCGATAATTACTAATTAAATTGGAATATATATTTTACTTGCTAAATCCTGTAGTTTGTTTATTGTGTTAATATTTTAATTATACTTTGTATATACATATGTGTATTTAATACACTGAATCATATTACATAATTTTTTCAATGTATCGATTTCAAATAGCTTGAACCAAAGATTATTCATAAAAAATATTGAGAATGTGTCGATTTAGATATGCGTAGACATATAATATATTAGTTCTAAGCCTTAAAAAAAGAAAACTTATTTAAAAAAGTACCAAATTCTTTGCAACATGTAGAGCGTCCTGTAGATTTCTTTCAATTTCATTCAAAATATCCTTGGAGGCACCGCGGAGAAGAATTGTGCAGGCCTGGAATGAAAATGATGAAACTTTTCAGTTATTGTATAAAATAGCTCGTAAATAAACTTATCTATCTTTTCGACAGATGCTGAAAGGAAAAAAACGGATAAAATGTTGGAGACATACAAATAACAACAATGTACAGTAATTTGATCTTCTGAGGTGAATTTGCGACTTTTTGCACATTTTCTTTATCTCTTATGAATATACTGATTTTGTATAGATATTTTTGAAACAAATATTTAAGAACTAATTAGGTAAGGTGGCAACGGGAGATACCTGGAAACCTAGGAATTTATATGTATATTATAATCAGTATCACATACTAAAACTTATAACCTATACCTAAGACTAGATGATTGCCTCGATGTTAGGATAGCAATACCATGTCATAGCTTGTGTGATATTATAAATCTTCTGGTTCAAACGGCTTGGTGTCCGTTCACGGCGGAGTCAGCGGCGTCACTCGTTATATGATATTTTATTCATACGACGATGGTTAGCGGCAATGTTCATTTAATTTTTAACATGTTGCGCGTACGTAACAATGTCAACAAACAATTATGGAGGATTTCATAATTGTACTGACATTTATTCACTATGTATCTTGGATATGTACATATTAGGGATATTAGTTACTCATACTTTTGACACCTAAGGGCTCCTACACATAATGATAAGGAAGTAACACAATCGAGATCTTTACCTTAGGGTTCCTATACACTAGAATTATAAGATAGTAGGACTTACCTTAGGATTTTTACATTCAGTAACAAATGTGAAGTAATCATCTCCAATCTTCTTGATCTCAAACCGTCCTGCCTGGGTCCCTACATCTGATTCCTTCAACTCCTCGGTCCTATTAACAATGGTCGCCCCACATGCACGAGCTAAACGATTGTTGTCAGTTTTACGAAGTCTGAAACGATAGTATATGTATAGAACATATATATTACACAATTTACTTGTTAGGAAAGTTTTATATTCTTAAATATGATAAATGATTGTACTGAAATTATAAATGCTATAATGTAGAAGACTTTTTGAACTACTGATGAAGTAATTGAAAACTTACTCTGAAAGTAGCATTGATATGTATTTTCAATAATACAACTTTATACTTTCGATATTGTTATATATTATATAATATATTTTAAATAAGGCATAATGTATGAAATTTTATTAAAGCAATTATATATGGAAAGTAATAAAACGAAATTTGTGTTTTATTCTTCCACAATTTACATTCTATGTGAAAGATGTAGTTTAATCAATAAAAAATATTATTTTTTTTAGTAACAAATAACCATTTTCCATAATTAAACAAAACTTAAATCCCTACTAATATTATAAATGCGAAAGTAACTCTGTCTGTCTGTTACGCTTTCACGTCTAAACCACTGAACTAATTTTAATGAAATTTGGTACAGAGATAGAGTTGACCTTGAGAAAGAACATGGGATAGTTTTTATCCCAGACTTTTGAAAGGTTCTCTTGGGAACGCGATATAACCGAACTCCACGCGGACGAAGCTGCGAGTGGAAAGCTAGTAGTCATATACTTCAAGACATTTCTGGACTATACATATATTGTTATATTACTTTCATATAAAATCTTTTATATACCTGCGAATAGCTGTAATTCCGGCCTTAACAAGGTAATGCTGTGCCAAATCTGAAACTCCTTTTTCTGTGACGACAACATCTGGCTTCAAAGCTATGATATCTTCACAGAGACGTTGAACATGCTCTTCCTCTAATTGAAGGAGTTTTGTGAAGTCCTGATGGAAAAAATATATTATTACACTACAAGACATGTAATTCATAATATGTAATATTTATAAATGTTTAAAAAATATATATGTATTTAATACAAAATATAACACTTTGGTTTATAAAAGAAAATTGGTAACACACAATGAGTTGAAGTACCATAGTAATTGGGCTTTTTAATGTTTTTTTCTATAATAATAAAAGAAAAATCTATTTTTAATGTATCTTTATAATAAGACAAAAATTGCTAGATTAACTAAATTTTAGTAGTGAGCGAAAAATATAGATCTACTCTATGACATATTTTTAAGACCAAAATAAAAAAATTAGGTATAACTATTAATTCTAGTGCAGACAACAAGTTTTTAGTTTCATAGAAATATTAGATACATTATAGATTTTCAATTAAGAGTAGTATTTATTATAAATATAGTTATATTATATATCAGTATATATACCTGTTCACCAACAATCTCAATATTGGTCTGGCTTTCACCCTTTTTGTACTCCAATGGACAATCGAGGAGAATAATTCTAGGATTTTCAATATATCTCCTCATTTTAGGATGTGTTACATCTTTATTGAACATAACACCATTCAATACTTTAGATTCTTCCACTGATCCACCGGGAATTTTCTCTACTTTTGCGTAGCTGTAATAATTTATATAATAAATGTTTATATATTAAAATTAAACCATTCTATAGAATTGCTAATAGTTATGTAAATAGCTAATCTTGTTCAAATTTATCATAAACATAAGATTTGAAGATATTTAACAACTAATAGTAAAAAACACATTTGTATAATTTCTTTTTTAACTATATTTATAATTTTGTAAGCAGTTACTCCTATTAAGCTAAGAAACCTCGTAATGAATGACATCTTATTGTATTTCAATCTTAATAACTTTTATGACAATGTCAGTTTATTTTTGTAAAGTTTTTATCTGAAACAAGTTATCATAGTTAAATCTTTACTAAGAGACTCACTTCTTAATATCAACTTCAATCCTTCCGTTTTCATTGATTGTAACCGTGTTCACAGCATCTAAAGCAATGTCTACAGCTAGGTCTCCCCAACGGCCGACATACTTTGTACCAATACATGAATGAATCTGTGAAATTAATATATTGATATTTTGTTAATTACATTTAAGTAATATACTCTAATGGTATACTAGCTGTAGCCTTTGGATTTGCCTGCATATTTAGACCTTGTTTATGTGGTTTCATTACAATACTAGAGGACACTATTTCCAAATCTTAACTATGTGACAATGTAACTAATGCAAGATAGTGTCCTATCGATTGAAAATAATTTTTGAGAACTGAAATTTAATCAAGGGAGTAATAATATGAGGATTACTCAGTCAAATTGAAAACTTTCTTCTTTTAAATTAAGTTTTAAAATATACAATGTTATTGCTTATGGCCTTATGACATTACCTATCTGCAAATAACCAACAAAATCAGTTCATTGGTTTCAGAGATTAAGGAGAATAATCAGACAGACAGCCAGACAAAAAAAAAGTAAATTTTTAGATTCTATGTAGGTATTTTAAGTACTAATCATGTGCATTCAATGAAAAGTTATTCATTTGAGATAACAATCAGACTCCACAAATATATTATTTTTTATAGATTTAGTATTCTTAATTTTATTTCTTATAGAAATATCAGAACTTATGAATACTTACCACTTCCCTGAGTTTCTCACGGTCATTCAAATCAATTGGCACCGAGATCTTATCTTGTAAGAGTTGCACTGCGTCTTCAAGGGCTTGACGGTATTCCCTTATAATGACGGTGGGATGGATGTTCTGTGCTAAAAACTGTTCAGCGACAGCCAGCATCTCTCCGGCAAGGACTATTACTGATGTTGTACCATCACCAACCTTTTGAAATGTTGAATAACTTCATTCATATATATTTCCTTGGTATACTAACGAAATATGGTAATCTATGACATTTTTATTTAGTTTTATAAACAAAATAACATCAACATTTCTGTCAACAATTTTTTTTGAAAATTATTTTAATTTCACAGCATATTAAAAGAACAGTAAATAAGTTCGTATTTCTAACCTCTTCATCCTGTGTTCTTGCGATTTCTATCATGGATTTAGCGGCTGGATGTTGCACAGTGATTTCTCTGAGTATAGCATTACCATCGTTAGTCATCACTATACCTCCCATAGGGTCCATTAGCATTTTCAACATAGCCTGCGGGCCGAGGCATGTTCGAATAACGTCCGCTATTGTCTAAAATAAATAAGACACAACAAAAACATTAATTCTCAAACATACTTTATAGCGAAAATTTTATTATTTTCAACCATTTCTGTCAATAATCACCTTTCCAGCGTTAATATTCTCAAGTTGAACTTTCCGGCCGGACTCACGTTTTGTGTTTTGGCCTGAAATAAGTTTTACATTATCATTGTTGTCATTTATAAAAGAACAAAAATCTATTATTATTTTACTCACTTAAAACAAGAATTGGTTGCTGTCCGTACATTTTAATACGTTTCTATGATTATTTAACGTAAATCCTAATACAATTTCCAGAAAAGAAACTAAATTCAGAAACTACTTCAAATCGCGTGGTGACTCAGTGTTTCCATTAAAAAATATCTTTTTTTGTCATTTTAGTATATTAATAACTATTCCGTCATCTAAATAAAATAACTAAACTTAATTTTAAAAACATAAAACTAGATATACAAAATGATAATACGAATCGTAAGTAAATTTTATTGATTAATTATTAAAGTCTGACAAGATTTGGTTAACAACTAGTGTCATCTATCTTTCGAGTTAAGAACTAATCCAAATTAAAGCGGCAAATTTCAACTTTTTACCTGATAATTATTGAGCTATTTTAAATGAATCTTGATAAACATTAATTTTGTTAATTTTTCTATTTAAAAGGCTTTGTATATAGGTAAGTTCGTGTAGTAAATATTTATAATTTTATATAAGAATCAAGGTACTTATGCTTTTAAATATGCGTAAGTAAAATATTGTATATATTTATTTATAAAGTTTAGTTGTGCAATATCCAGAAAATCTTTATACATAATAATTATTAAAGCTGTCATTTGCTTAAAATTAATAGTTTTTGTATCTCACTTTTAAGCCAGCAAAATTATTTCAAACATCGATCTACACGTGTGTTTAAAAGTTTTGATTGTAAATTGCTCGTGAACACATACATACTAAAGGTAACCTCAACTGTATTATTTACAGAACTTGTATATAATATATTAATTACTAATAAGGTCCATTTTTTGCTGAGGTTATATTTATAAGACTCATACAGTTCCTTGTACGCTATTTCTATTATTAAAATTTAACTGATTATCGATATATGTATAGATTTAACTGACTTTACGACTATTCAGACGGTTTGTAATAAATTAGGGTTAATTCAATTCAATTACAATAATTAAAAAAGCAAATATTTATATAAATATTAGGACATATGTCCTCACCCAATTTCGAAATCGAATCAAAAACTTACATTTCCCAAAAATATAAAAATTAAAAAAAATGAATAATGCATACAAAATATTTTATGTTTTATTTAATTTAATTCATTTAAATATATTACATAAATCTACAAAACAGCGTGAGATCATATTTTTTATATAATTATTTACAAGTAATACAATGATTAAAATCTTTATAAGTAAATACAGATAGCCTGACTAGTTCATGATTTAAATTTTAACTAATACATTCACAAAATAAGAACAAAATAATATTTACAGATTATTTTCCCGTAACCCTTTTCTAAGGCATTGTATTTAATGTCGTTTGACATTTCCAATTTATTCTATAAGTAATAATGTTTCATGCACTCCTTACAATTTTCTATCAAGAATATAATTTGTCCAACAAATAAAAACGTTGACATTGTCAGTATATTCCACGATTCCAGTGCGAATGAAGACACAGCTTAAAAAAAAGTTCTATTCATATGCAGTTGATCAAAGTTGAAAGTACATATATTTGAGTTAACGAAACAAAATTACATATTTTATATATGAGAGGTCCCTATTAGTAAGACCTAAGTACAGAAGGTACGCGTACTCCAAGTTTCCATCGTCAGACTACAAACGCAGCGTTAACAGTTTCATTATTTAATCCTCGTACTTAATATATAGAGTTAACGTAAATCATTTAATAAAAACGGAAAAATCTTCGTATAAGGATGTTAACTTGTGGTAAACATATAAGTACGGTAACTTTGAGTCGTCAAAGTAAATATGGAAATTAATGTTTTCCTCTTATCTTTGTGTTTGAACAATTGAATTTAGTGACGTCACGTATTTAGAATGACGTTGCAAACTAGAGGTAAGGTTACAGAACAAGATTAATGGATAGTGAGAAAAGAATTGAATTCTTCCGTAGAAAATATTTTCATAGACAATATTATATTATAATTCCGCAGACAGAGTCGCGGGTGAGAGCTAGTATTGGATACTAGCTCTCAAGCTCTAGCTTAGTATCCAATACTAGCTCTCACCCGCGACTCCGTCTGCGTAAAAGTACAAACAAACAAAATATAATGAGTAAACTTTTAGAAGCGTGATAACGTTTAACTTTGTTTTCAAGATAAAAAGTAGCCAAGTTACTGCTTATTACATCAGCTACGTACCAATAAAAGTCGTATAAAAATCGGTCCAGCCATTTCAGAGATTAGTCGGAACAAATAGACAAAAATTGCAAAAAAAAATATTTTTTGTGTATGTACCGTATACATATTTATATGCATGTAGTACACAACAGACAATCCAATTTTATTGATTCATATAGACAAAGTAGGGACTATACGATAATTTTATTTTCAGTTATTTATTAATTTAATAAAAAAATTCAACCTACATATATGACCTCTTAGCACGATTTTTTCTAGTACGCTAAAATTATCCCATTAAAGAAAGAAGTTCTGTATTCCTCTATATATTTTTAGTACTGTAATTATGTAAATCCTTAATTATTACAATAAATATATTACTTTTAATGAATATTTAAATTTTATACAGTTTAATCTTGTCATTATTTCGAAATTTTATTTGGAATATAACTATTTCTACTACTAGCTAGTGACTATAGATGTTTCAGACATGATTTATAAAATTACTCATTATTTTATTGCCCGCTCTATTTAGATATACTGTTAAAAAATTATGTTATTTAAACAAAAAATATTCCTTTTATTTTGAAGGCAATATTTTTAAGTGACTTTTCTATTTGATAATGACAACATTATTTTCGTATATATACAAATTTTCTTTAAAACAGTTACTTTTTAAATCGATCCGAATACTTTCCAGTAAATCCTCTTTGGACGTCACTAACTTTTTTTTTAATCCGAAAAAAATGTGTCATTAAATTCTGTTTAATCTGTGAAAAGATTTGAGATTGTTGAATGCTTATATTATCTATGGTGCAAATCTTAATAATTAATTTAATCAAATCTACTGTGAGTCTAGAACTATTAATGCTAATCGATAATATCGTCTTCTATATCTGATGATTCAGCCTTTGCGTTGTCCATTTTCTCCCTGGCTTCATCATTCTGTTTGAGAGCGTGCAGATTTTCATACACACTCTTCAAATTCCTCATGATGTACGACGTGCCGTACGGTTTGCCTGTGAATCTTCGGTCGAAGTATTTATCATTATCCTGGCTTCTTGCGGGTACAGAGAAGGCTGATACATGCCTTGGCTTCTGTCCAAAATCTTTGCCCAAACGTCTTTCTAAACCTTCGTTGGATCGAATGTCTGGGCTAATGTTGGTGTCTTCAGCACGTTTTCGGTCATAAATATGACCAGAAACACGCAAATCGATGAAGAAGTTTAATGGGTCTACCCCAAATTGTGGGTTGTAGAGCGGAGGGTACCACATAGGTGGTGGCGGTGGTAGGATTAAGTTTGATGGTGGTACAGCGTCAACTGGATTTCTTCCTAAAGGCGCAGGTTTAGGTAATTCTTCGGTACCAACATCAACAAACGTAGATTGCCTTCCTGGTGGTTCAGGGGTAGTAGTTTTCGATGGTTCTGACTTCGGAGTCATTCTTCCCGGCGACTGATTACCGATTCGTGGCTGCTTATCAACTGTTAGTTCGAGTGGAACTTCAGGTCGTATTTCGGGTTCCTTTTTTTCTTCCTCCGGCTTGGGCCATTCCCGCCTCCAGTCCGTTTCGTTTTCGGCGAAGTATTTATGGGAGCGACGCTTGAATCTGCGGTGGTAATGCTGTGGTCGACAGCCGTGGCGAGCGTTTACAAATGATCGGAGCATCTCGCTGAAGAAGAAGGCGTGAGGTTGTAGTGGTAACGCGCTGTACAGGTAAGGTGGGGTGGCAGCTAATAGTCTAGAAACCAGTTCCGTATTCCTCAACTCCCTAACGTGAGTCTTAGCAGCTCCCTCCGCCGCTTTTTCTTCTTGAACGGATCCCATTCTGTGAAAGAAAAGTATCTTGTATATTCAATGTTTTATTGAAAAGTATATACATACATGTAAAGCAAAATATATGTTTCTTCGCATGATAAACAAACGCCAAATACTGTTATCAGTGGTTTATTATAAAATGTTATATTAACTATAACGAAAGTCTTGCCAAGAAGAGAACATATAAAATAGATCATATTCTATTTAATTGTGATATTGGTATCTACATTATAAATTAATAGCTTAAAATGTCGTTTTTTAATTACAGGTTAATCTTGTAAAGATTTTATTGTGAACCTAATACAAATTATAATCTTTCTAAACCTAACAATAAATTATTTTCTTACACAGAAACCATTACTCTTTTAATTGATTGTGTCATCCAAATAACAATATTATATTTAATATTAATATAGTCGCCCAAATTCAACCGGATCTATGCGAAAGAGTTATTAAAAATTGGGCCACTAAAACCGTGCCACTGTTAAAAACAGAATCCGGCATTTCAATATCATCTTCCATACTTAATAGCATATATGGACTTTTAAATAAAAAAAATATATATTTTTGTTAAAACCTCACACATAGCTTGTTTAATTTCATTCCAATATCTATCCGTCCTTATTGAAACACCCTTTATATATATGTATTTTGTTTGGACATTTAATCTCAAATATATCTGAAATATGTAACTCATTTACATTCGTTGTAGTTTTGAATTGTAAACTTAAAAATTTACCCGAAATGCAATCTCAATACAAATATATTCTACGAAAATTTTTATCTGACTAGATGGTATACATATTTATGACGTGACAAACCAAATCAAAGAAAATTGTAGCTCTATATTCATAGTCCAAGTTTGAATCGTCATACTACATACGAAAAGTATCACGATTCTCAGTCAATAACTTATATTAATGAGCTAGGACTTTCGAAAGTATTCATTTAAATTAAACTAATATTTTACTGGTTATTTTATTTTTTTAAATAACATACTCCCGACATTTCGGTTACTTTTCCAACAACCATGATCATTTGAAAAACGAGACGTAAACAAAAATATAAAATAATGAATAGTAATCCGAAAATATTAGTTTCATTTAAACTTACGTTAATATTAATGGATGAATGAAGAACTGTTGAGTATTTATGGGAAAAATACCGACTTAGACTAAGCATTGACAAAAAAAAAATCTCTTCAAAAAAATGTAAAATAACTGCCAATCATCCCCAAAAACCTTGAATACATTCCTGTACAAACATACATCATCTAATGCGAGTTCGTCTGTCGTCATCGATTTTTCACTTCATCGCTGTTTTATTGCCAATATTCCAATGGAGATACATCCGCATCCGCTTCCTAATTCCTCTTTGGATTCATACTGGATTTTTTACAGCTTAATACATCCCTAACTGAACACATGAATAACATACGTAAACATTAAATTCAATCCGCATATAATTTTAGATCAGATAGTATAACAAAGCAATGAAATTTAATACTAGTATAATTGAATTTTCAAACAATAGTCGTAACATATATAAGTGTACCCTATATTGGAATTAAATGTAACATTAGCATATCATCAGTTGAAATCCAACTTGGGATCGCGACAATAGATTGGAGGGAGAAGCTCACAATAAATGGTATCCATTCAAAGTTGATAGAACCGTGAAGTGAAGTCTCACGCGACGATGGACAAATAACGCTCTCGTTATATTGATTTTAATCTCTATAATATATACTTTATATATATTTTAAATCAGTGGTATATGTAGTTATATAATACTAGCTTTCCGCCCGCGTGGATTTCGGTTATATCGCGTTTCCAAAAGAACCTTTCAAAAGTCTGGCATAAAAACTATCCTATGTTCTTTCTCAAAGTCAACTCTATCTCTGTACCAAATTTCATTAAAATTAATTCAGTGGTTTAGGCGTGAAAGCTTAACAAACAGACAGAGTTTCTTTCGCATTTATAATATTATTCTAGGGATTTTTTATATTTTATCTGTCTTCTCTATTAATTTAAATTTGATACGAGAAAAAATTCGAATACCGATCTCAATCAGTGTTGCTTTTATTTTGTGAAACCCAGCCTGCTTTGTTTGTTATCGGAATGCGAAACCGAATTTGTAAGCTGTCTCGAGTGTACAAAAAACTTTGTATATCAATAATTTTAATATACTATCTACTTATATTATACCTAAATAAATACTTGCACTAAAGTACCGAAAACTAAACATTAAATTTTTAAGTACTATAATATATATTAAAAGCCGATTGAGAATTTAATTTTTTAACCAATTTCCCATTTACAGAGCACTCATATTAAAATTTTTAAAAATAAAAAAACACTTTGACATTACCAGGAAGTGACAATTCAAAATGTATGAATGAAGCCATAGCTTAAATATTAATAGAAAAAAAAATGTACCCGACGAAACAATTAAACTTCATAAAATATTGTAAGCCATTGGCGGTGCAGATTTGTGGGACATATTCATTATGAAATTATTAATAAAAACTGAAGCATTTTGAACCTTCCGCCAAGGAATTAGGGAATAAAGATTTCGGTTGACAATATTATGATTGTGGAGGTGTGCCGTCACACGGCAGAGAACGTTAATTTCCATATTAAAATCGTCACAAAGGAAGCAAATTCAAAAACCGCGCTTAGTAGGGTGGTAAAAGAGATGTCGCGGATGTAAGAAATTTGTATGACGTGTAATTGGATGCGGTACTTTATAATTGTTATATGAACAAAAGTGGGATGGATATGGTAACAAAAATTAATTTCGAAGTTCTTAAGTAGAAAATATGATTTATGTATTTTTATTAAAATAATTAAATTAAAAATATTTTATTAATTTTTTTCACTCTATTAGTGAGGTTGACACAATTATTATGCTTGCAATACATATTGTTCCTTACCAAGACTCACTTAACCAAGAAACATTTTATATAATATAATTGTACGTAGGCTATATACCATTGAATAACAGATATCACCAAGCGATAATTCTGCCATCCATTTCATCGTAGCGTCATAGGCACCCCAAACAATATTGCTCGCAGATACGGGGTATGATAATCGCGTCAAAACGCACGTGAAGTGCCGTGGGAGGGAAATGGGAGGAAAGAGGGGGGAAAAGGGGGGAGCGTTAAGCCGGTGACAGCTTTAAAATGTACCCGATTATCCGACCGAGTGTACTTTAGACGGAGACGGTCGCTTGAAAAGATATGATTTATACGAGCCTACGCTCAGTATACACTTTTGTGTGCCTAGCGACTGATTTAAATGCGAAGATTAGTAATTACATACAGTCGCGTTTGACATTACATGAGTTTGATGATGAGCTTTGAAAACTTACGTTTGTTACTTTATGTGTGTATTGAGATTTCTTTTTTGTAATGTACATGCGAGTGGTCTGGATGTCTGGAAACGGTTTAAATAGAAAATGTCGTATCATGGAAAGTAGAGTGTTTGATGTTGTTACTCTTACTTTTTTTTTGAAATACAAATGACTTTTAGTAGACATTATCATAAATGTTAACAGATAAAAATTAATCGTGCATAGGTAAAAAGAAAATCTAAGCAGGTTGATTAAAAGGATGATAAAACTTATTGATACATTCATACGATAATTACATATTATATGTAACGGGTGTTTTTCTAGAGGTATAGAACTTTGATTCAATTCCTGTGTACGATGGTGGATAGACTGATTCGGGTCTTCTTCTACGCAGAATAACTTCTTCTGTACGCACTGTACGACATGTCTGTTGGATGCGTAATGTGGATTTAGAGTAAATGTAGTGCGAAAACGTTCCATTGTTAATAGAATTAATAGTTCTGATGGACCGTAAAATGGAAATAGTGCGCGATACGTTTTTCGAACAGAGCCATGATTTTCAAAATGAATTTGCACAATTTGGAGGCGTTGTTCAGGCTTTAGTCTATTCATGATGAATTGTCAAACCAAATTAAACACAAATCACTTGACAGCTGTCAAAATATTTGACAGTTAAAAAGTATTGGCAACTTAAAGTTGTATATCTCTAAAAAACACCCTTTATAAGGAAAATTGGTATACAAGGAAAATTGGTATATAAGCGAAATGAGTATGTAAGCAAACTGAGTTTATAGGGAAAATTGGTATATAAGGTAAGCTTGTATATAAGGACAATTGGTATATAAGGAAAATTTTTATATGTATAAGGAAATTGGCATAAAGGGAAATTGAGAATATAAGTAAAAATTGTATACATATACAATAAAATATCATATAGAGATTAATTGTGAAATATACAGTTCCATACATTATTTAATAATACGCATCGAATAACAAAATCATTACATACATCTCTGTAAGACTATTAGATAACTTTCAATATATTAGGAATACACTAAAAACTCCAGCCTTAAAATATTTTCGCACACAATCCATCTCATGCAGTCTAGTCTCCTGGTTTGAGAATAAAACAACGTCACTGTTAATTACTAAGGGAAGTACTTGGAATACGATTTTACAATTCTATCCCAGCGCCTGTTCATTTTATATAGCAATACATATTTATGTGTTTAAGCTATATATATTAATAGATTGTGTGAAATATTTACAATACATTAGGCAATATTTTATCGGATGGATGTTAATGAAAGCAATTTCCTTAACAGATTCCAATCTTGATGAAATACGTAACAAATGAACAGTAAATGAATGAGCAAATGTAACAGCTCAAATTTATATGGATGATTTGTAATATATATTAATGTTATTAAAATTATTTTGTACTTAAAATCTATACATATAATAAAATTGTAGAAAAGTGCTGCCTGTACATTGAAAATAAAAATAAAAAAAATAGCAGGGGTTATTGTTATGTCGATGTAGAACCCAAAAATGTAATTAACTTTTTTTTGTCTGTTTGTCTGTTGTCTGTTTGTCTGTTCACGCTAATCTCAGAAACGGCTGATCCGAGTTGGATGCGGTTTTCACGAATA